AACCCTCTCAGAAGTGAGAGGAGGCCTATTCCCACTAGTGGGACGTATATAGGCTCTAACTTTTCTTTTAACTTTACAGTAAATATTTAGCATTCTATGTTCACCACCTACCAAAACTATAAGAGAGGCGCGTGTAGTTTTAAATAAGATAATCTGTAATTTCAATTCTAAATTTATCACTTTTTCTAACTTTGTAGTATTCTTCAATTTTTATATTTTCTCTTACCAGTATTCTAGTAACTGCTATCTGTTCTTATAAGGTTTATTTCAGTTATATTCGGTAATTTGTGTGGTAAGAAGGCTATACATTAAGAAAAGTAATAATATTAATTAAAAACAAAGCCACTAACCAATAAATAAATTAATGGTATAAATAGCTTATACAAATGCTTCTGTGTGTACAAATTCTTTGCAAGTTATAAACTATGATAGTATTATTACTATTTGCCGAGAACGCGAAAATTGAAATATCAACTAATTATTTAATATAAATTGTTATGTTTACAATGGTTATTGCAAAAATTGCATTATTCAACAGTGGTAGAGCCACGCGGCAGCTTTTGCTGTCGCACGGATGGGCCGGCTCGAACCGGGGTGGTACCACGACCTCACAGAAAACCAGCGTGAAGTAGAGGTTTACCTCTGCGTTTCGCTTGGTGAGTGAAGGTGGCCGGAGGCCCTTTTTACTGGAAATGAGGCATTCCATCTTAGTCCTCACGGGTGACAACGCATCTACATTTTGATTTGTAACAGAGGATAGATGTAGATGTCTATGGGCCGCAGCAACCACTTACCATCAGGTGGACTGTGTGCTCGTTTGTCACCCTCATCCTATAAAAAAAAAAATATCCTCATAATTTAAAATATTATGCTCTTATGTGTACCTATAATTTTACAATTTTGTATCTATAATAGCGCCATTTATTAAAACTTAAATAATAAATATATTTTAAAACTTTTTAATGTACTAACAAACACATAAAATATCTTTCGAGAAACAGTCCGGGCTAGAATCATTGCTCGCACTTTGATTCCAGAGTCGAACCAAATATTAAATCATAAACAGATATAGTTATATCGTCAGTCGTAATATATACATATATAAAGAACTCAGAAAATCAGCGTAAAATAGCACTTACACTAAAATAAACTCACCTTAACTAACACTACCACTAAAATACACTCACCTCACCAAATATTTATTTGTTTTGTAATGTGAGTGTAGAGAACCAGAGACGCTTTTTACTGGAAACGAGACATTCCATCTGAGTCCTCAAGGTTGAGAATGCATCTGCATTTTGACTCTCAATCCAGGATAAATGTTTACATTACGTTGTTTTTGACATATATCTATGGGCCATGGCATCCACTTACCATCAGGTGGACTGTGTGCTCGTTTGTCACACTTTTTCTTTAAAAAAATACAACCACTCCATTCGCCATTCTGATCAATAGAAAGGACATTTACATTGAATAATAATATGATTTGATTACTTGTAATATGTTGGTTATCTAACGGTCACGAAATTTTTGCTATCAAGTTGATCCATTTATCAAAAGATGACACTGACACATTGACACCGACTGAATTCCTGACATCCTTCGATGCTTAATTTGGGATAGTATTTATGATAAATCCTCGATTTAAAATTTCAATTCACGTAAGCAAACCACTTCGAGCTCTTTCAGAATCAATAACATTGATAATGGCATTTTTAAGTACTGATTTACTATAACTCGGCGGTGCATCAAAACATCTTAAGAAGACAAAGTTTCAGATAAATTAAAAATAAAAACAACATGTGAAGTCCGCCAACACACAAAAGGACAGCGGTGCCGACTCTTTTCTACCAAAGAACCTTCTCAGTAATGATGGGACGACCGTGTCCAACTTTAAGTTGTAAATTCATATTACTTCTACAAATCATAATTTCTTTGTGTGCTAAAAGTTATTTTAAGTTTTCCACCCTTCTTCACACTTTGCCCCCAAAATAATATGATCTCGCTAGTTCGTAGCCCCGGCAAGCGTATTCGCGTAAGAAAGTTGTAATCTCTATATATCAAAATCAATTGATGTCCGTTAGTCTCGTTAAAACTCGAAAATGGATCGACTGATTTTGATGATTTTTTGTGTGTTTAAATGGGTCTCTGCATGGTTTAGATTCTTAATTGGACACCCGTGCGAAACCGGGGCGGATAGCTGGTCTTCTCTATATATAAAAATCAATTGCTATCCGTTAGTCTCGCTAAAACTCGAAAATGGATCGACCGATTTTGATAATTTTTTGTGTGTTTAAATGGGTCTCTGCATGGTTTAGATTCTTAATTGGACACCCGTGCGTAACCGGGGCGGATAGCTGGTCTTCTCTATATATAAAAATCAATTGCTATCCGTTAGTCTCGCTAAAACTCGAAAATGGATCGACCGATTTTGATAATTTTTTGTGTGTTTAAATGGGTCTCTGCATGGTTTAGATTCTTAATTGGACACCCGTGCGAAACCGGGGCGGATAGCTGGTCTTCTCTATATATAAAAATCAATTGCTATCCGTTAGTCTCGCTAAAACTCGAAAATGGATCGACCGATTTTGATAATTTTTTGTGTGTTTAAATGGGTCTCTGCATGGTTTAGATTCTTAATTGGACACCCGTGCGAAGCCGGGGCGGATAGCTGGTCTTCTCTATATATAAAAATCAATTGCTATCCGTTAGTCTCGCTAAAACTCGAAAATGACTCGACCGATTTCGATGAAATTGTTTGTGTGTATTTGAGTGGGTTTATGGATAGTTTTAATTCACAATTGGACCTGGTAGGTGGCGAGGACTATAGAGATCCAGATATCACCCGTGCGAAGTCGGGATGGATCGCTAGTATTATATAAATACATAAACATACAAATAATACTGTGGCGATGAAGAAGATAAGCATGAGTTAAACAACTGAATGATGCAGTGTTCATTTTGTATTAAGCAGCTGTTCCTTTCATATAATGTTTTAGAGCCATTCTGCAGCTATTATTATGTTTGTAGCACGAATAGGTCGGCTCGACCGGGCAAGTACCACGCTCTCACAAATTACCAGCGTAAATTGCAGCTGTGTTTCGTATAGTAAGTGTAGAGAACCGGAGGCACTTTTTACTAGAAACGGGGCATTCTATCTTAGTGCTCAGGGGTGACAACGCATCTGCGTTTTGAATTTTAACCGATGGTAAATGTAGATGTCTATGGGCCACAGCATCCACTTACCATCAGGTGGACTGTGCGCTCGTTTGTCACCCTTTTGTATAAAAAAAAAAGTGAATACTACAAATTATCACGGATTTTATCGCTGGTGATTTACTTACTTTTAAAACTAAACGTGATTTTATTTCTATAGATTTTTACAGAATCATCTTTATTACGTAACCATTCAACTTCTGGGCATGGACTTGTCTTAGTGCGAAGGACAGTAAGCTTACCAGACGGATTAACGATGGCATTATTATACGTCTCACACCTTTGACGTTTCTTCCATCGCTGCTTTAGGATATTTTATACTTGGAATTAATATGAGATTCTTATTTTTTTTTTTAATTAGAGGCCGCAAGATCTGTCGGACATAAAGATTTGTCCATCGTATGTGCTTTATATCATCATGTGTGCATCATATATATACGATGCACACATGATGAGATAAAGTAATGAAATAATTTCAGTCTACGTTTATTTATTTTACAATGCTAACAACATAATGACTTCTTATAGTGACGCGAACACTACACATTAAATGAAACTAATTTTACGGATTTTATCGTGTTTAATTTAGGTTTTTAATACCCGACGTTTTGCAGAATGAGCTTACAGTACGAGTATCTTAAAGTCTTGCAGTGGTATGCTGGGGCTTTGATTTAATTTCGTATAAAATTAATTTTGCTCATTCTGCGTAAATCCGACCAAAACTTAATATTCTAAAACTGAAGGTAGCAGAGCTAACTATGAAATCCCCCCCCTCTTAGATAATACATTATATATCAGGGATAGACGCTCCACTCATATTTCAGTTTTCGAATGAGTGTACCGTGTACGCTAGATGCCGCTGTATTCTTTATTGCAACGCGGCTTGGGGTAGTTACCACTAGATGGCGTATTTTGGCGATGACTATATTGATATTATGAAATAAGCAGTTTTACTATCAATGTTGAACTTTGTTTTGCATTCTACCAGATAATTATTGGATATCTCCACAGAGTACCTTTGGATATCTCCAATTATTTTCTTAAATCTCCAAATAGAAATTTTGTAGATAACATTAACACTAATAAAACTTATCCTATTTCACATAAGATTTTTTTAAATATCAAAGACTGAATATGATTTTAATTGTGTATTTAGTTTATTTTACGAATGGTATAATATTTAATAGCTTGAGCTTTGACATTATCATTTTTACAATCGGTAGTTAATAATTTTCCCGTTACCAGCCTATTAACATTGGTGCACCAACTGTGAACAACCACATTTATTGTTAAATTTAGTAAATGATCATAAAGCCTCTTATTATGATTTTCACTGGAGAGGAATGAAAAGTTGCAAAATATTTTCATTTTCTGAATTATCGTATCCTTAGTATTCGTATTTATTTCAAAGAACTGTCAACCAAGTGTATTATCTGTGTGTCAACCATAACCATAAACCAAAACTGCCTTAGATTTAGTTTTTTTGGTTCTTGGATTCTGCGGGTTTGGCCTAATTAACGCCATCTCTACAACGCTGAAGAAAACTAACCTACAAGTTTATGTTTGTTTATGTTTATGTTTTATGTAACTAGTTCACTAGAAGGCAGAACTTTCAATGCATTTTTATTATTGAAAATTTGTATGGCAGTTTCATCCCCCTGGTAAAGCACCCGAAACGTCGGGAATTGAAAAGTCAAAATTAAATGCGATAAAATCCGTAAAATTAGTTTCATTTAATGTTAACAACTAATGAAGAATATTCTGTAGTATAGTTTTTCTTTCAGGCGAGTTTATCCAGTTATTATCCTGACAAAAGGGCCACTTGGATGGAACTGGCCATATATAAAAAATAACTCTGTGAAAGTTTTCCTATTGGCAACCCTGCCTTGGATAGTCGAGTGTTTATCGACGGCTTTCTTTACTCACGTACTTCTTGAATATCCTTGGTACTGGGGTAAGTGTTGCGCGAAGCGCTTTCTACATGATTAATACGAGAAAAGCTAATGTTTTAGCCTTTAAAAACAATTGTTAGGAAATAAAGTTGTATCTTACCTAGCTTTTTATTTAACTTTATCCTCTTTTCTACCTACTTCAAAAAGGAGGAGCAACTCAATTCGACTGTATGTCCTTTTTTATGTGTGGTACTTCATAACTTTTTTCTACGTGAACCTTTTTTATTGTGTGATTCCTTTTTTATTTGAAAGCTGTTGCTTCTCATGTAGTCCCATATAAATTTAATCGAGGTCTGACCAATAGTTTTTGAGTTATTCTTAATAATTTATATTGAAGTCGGTTGAACAAAATTTTTAATTTTAAGTTATTACATATACAGATTAACTTTAAAAAGATTTATTGTCTTGTCTTTATTCGTCAAACATTTTAAAATTTTTGTTTCTTTTTACTCATACTAACGAAAATATATACAATATGCTGTGTTCCCATCACTCACAATACGAATGGTGAGTGATGAGAACCGGGGACCCTTTTATTGGTAACGACTTATTCCATCTTACGTTTTTTATGTCAATATATGTAAAAAAAAATAATCACTATGCTAATGAGTATCAATTGTTATTAAATCGAACAATTATTAATAATTATTGGTAATTATACTATAAGTATATGTTCAAATAATTTAATTAACGCCTGGTCACGGCTATACATTTTGTTGATACAGATATTAAAGACTTATCAATTCCCGGTTCCTGGGGAAAGCTATGGAGACTTGTAGCAGATGGCACTGCTAAAGTACACGAAGATTTTTTTTTTTATGTATACCCAGTATATTGACATCTCAGTTCAGTACAGAAAATGCTAATTGTCAATATCTGGGGCTTGTCAACTGCCTAGACCTATCCTTCAAATATGTACCATGTACCAATGTACCTACCATCATATACTAGAACACAAGTTAATACTAGTAAGTGCCCTCCACCCGGGACCTGTAAGAGTGATTTCTATTTATTTATATACAAAAACATACGGATACCAATCTAGTTTCTGTGATGTTAATGCTGTTAGACTATGCGGCTCTCACAGCTTCATCGAACTCAGAGCTCGCGGCCTGAAAGGCCGTAAGCTACAATGTGATGTATCTACATTATACTCGTGTAGTTAGAAATCCTTAATACTACTATACTAGCACAATTTTTATACTGGTTTACACCTCGGAGCTATTTTGTCGTCCGTGTCTCCTGCTGTAGTAGTTGCTACTGTAATGGCATTTAGTGCAAATACATACGAATACCAACGTGACGTATCTACATTATATAGTCAGAAATCCTTAATACTACTATACTAGCACAATTTTTATACTGGTTTACACCTCGGGGCTATTTTGTCGTCCGTGTCTCCTGCTGTAGTAGTTGCTACTGTAATGGCATTTAGTGCAAAAACATACGAATACCAATGTGACGTATCTACATTATATAGTCAGAAATCCTTAATACTACTATACTAGCACAATCTTTATACAGGTTTACACCTCGGAGCTATTTTGTCGTCCGTGTCTCCTGCTGTAGTAGTTGCTACTGTAATGGCATTTAGTGCAAAAACATACGAATACCAATGTGACGTATCTACATTATATAGTCAGAAATCCTTAATACTACTATACTAGCACAATCTTTATACAGGTTTACACCTCGGAGCTATTTTGTCGTCCGTGTCTCCTGCTGTAGTAGTTGCTACTGTAATGGCATTTAGTGCAAAAACATACGAATACCAATGTGACGTATCTACATTATATAGTCAGAAATCCTTAATACTACTATACTAGCACAATCTTTATACAGGTTTACACCTCGGAGCTATTTTGTCGTCCGTGTCTCCTGCTGTAGTAGTTGCTACTGTAATGGCATTTAGTGCAAAAACATACGAATACCAATGTGACGTATCTACATTATATAGTCAGAAATCCTTAATACTACTATACTAGCACAATCTTTATACAGGTTTACACCTCGGAGCTATTTTGTCGTCCGTGTCTCCTGCTGTAGTAGTTCCTACTGTAATGGCATTTAGTGCAAAAGGATTTGGCAATAAAAATAAGATTGCTTTGCTAGTTGCTAACGCCGGCGGCTTGGATACAGCATTTACGGAAGGCATGTTCGGTGTAATCAATAGTGCAATATTTTATCCAAGCCCTCCAACGTACAGAATCATAAAGGTACGTAGATAAAAAATAATTATTACTAACTTTTTCAATGTTAACCAGAATTGTTTAAATTAAAACAGGTGCGAGGCCACTAATATAGCTACCTCTACCTCTACCTAGTCTACCTACCAAGCTTGGCGATTAAGGTGAACTTTTTATAAGTGATGGAGCCATGCTGCAGCTACTATCAGTAGTATAGTTGTAGCACGAATGAGTCAGCTCGACCGGGGAAGGACCACGCTCTCACAGAATACCAGCGTAAAGTAGCAGCTTCAAACTGCTGTGTTTCGTATGGTGAGTGTAGAGAACCGAAGATCCCTTTTACAAAAAACGAGGCATACTATCTTAGTCCTCACGGGTGACATCGCATTTGCATTTTTATTCGTAGTCGAGAACAGATGTGCCTATGGGCCACAGCAACTACTTACCATCAGGTGGACTGTGTGCTCGCTTATCACCCTTATACTATTAAAAAAATCTGCGTTAGAAGGTCCCACGTTTAGGAGTGAACTTCCACGGGCTAATGAAAAAGAAGAGAATCACGTATAATACTTCAAAACCTGAATACAAGAATGTACAACCAGTTCGTGGTGCCTCACTGCTAACCATATACGGAAACTCAAGGTCGCTCAGCCAGCTATGGAGAGAGCTATAATTGAATTTTATGTGCGTAATAGACTTCTTAATGAGGTTTTACGCACCAGAATGTGCCGACTATATAACTCGAAAACCGACAACCAAAGGGGGAACATTTTTCTCGAGTGACAGCCGCATATTGGCAAACGGCCTCTCACTAGATGGAGTGACGATGGATGCAGGTGGCTCAGGACCGTGCTCCGTGGATTTCATAAGGCGAGAAAAAGGAAATTCCGTTATCATACTCATAAAAAGAAATAGAGTCTGATCTGTGAAGTATCTCATTACATAATTAAGACAAATCTTTAGAAATGACTTTATTGATCTGTTTACAATCTAAAAATGACTCTTTCTCTCTTTTATATTCCAAACCAGTAACTTATTTGCAATTTCTTAAAAGTTTTATCAGACAAACATGATTTCAATAACATGAAGTTTATGGAAGAAAAATTTAGATATCAAATTTTATGAAACTAAAAGCCCGTGCAACATCTACGGTAGCACAGGAAATTTTAAATTCAAATAATGTATTCGCTCGGAGAACCCAATAAACTTGAACGATGTTTGCACGACCTCAAACGGCTTCACGGGACTCTTGTGGCCGGAACTGGACTTGAACGGACCCAATTGTTTTTTATTTGTAGCAAGTTTGTTGGTTTGTGCTAGTGGATTTTCCTATTTTTTCTCTATTTTCTATTCAATGTGCCCAATAACTTTTACATGAAACACGAAATTCATGTTTATGCTTAAACGAATTCCATAATTTATTTTCCCTTAACAACTGTGGAATAATTTGATAAAACAAAAAATGTCCTTATATATAGAATATATAGAAGTCCGTAAAATAAAATCCACTTTTTTATATGTAACCTCTTCATTAGGACTAAAGTATTTTCGCATAATAAATAAACCATACGCTACTTTATTTCTAAATGCTTGTAATTTGAAATATCTCTTTGCTTAATTACTTTCAAGATTGTAAACTATATAAGGGTACGTATTTTTTTAAATTTAATATCTTGAAAGTAATTGAAAAGGATACTTATTACCTAAATTAATTAACCTGCTTGTTTGTCGGTCTCCTACTGATTGTAATTCGGAGAGTGTACCCTTGAGGTTTACAAGCTCTCCTCGCCATCTCCGATCTCCTATCGGAGTATCAGACGTACTGTCGTTTACACTTCGTTAATATTCAGAATATTTGCACTAAGTCATCTTTTATAATGCGCAAAGCCAAGGAGTGGAACGCCCTGCTGGCGTCTGTTTTTCCGAGTGCATATAACTTTAACCTCTTCAAGGTGCGTGTTAACAGGCTTCTCCTGGGTAAACTCGCTCCATCGTAGACCTAATCTTTGCCCTCGGGCCATGGAGGTCAAGAATGAGTCCGTTTTTAATTAAAAAAAAACTAGAAGCTTCATAAGTATGTAACTTTCCGTAAAGCATGTTAGCAAAATAATCATCAGTTTTTGTGACCTCCAAAACTGAGGAAAAGGTATCAAAATAACTTAAATTAATATCTTTTTCGCAGGCATGTTTAGCAATTTTCTTTGGTATCGGCTTAGGCGTTGCTTGGGGTATTCTTTCTGACATTTTACCAGATCAAAAGGACCCTTATGCTGCAACTGTACGCAGTATACTCATTTTTACCGGAGGTTTTCTACTTTCTTATGCCGCAGGGTTTCTTGGATGGGGCGGAACTTGTAAGTAATAAATAATATATTTTTCTTTAGTTGTGTTACATTATGTAGCATTACGTTGTTTTGTTCCATTGTCTTAAAAACGGACCTCAGATCTTTTTTTAGTTTCAGGATTTGAATTTACTTTTATTTATTTTATATTTTAGACAAACAATTGCATTAAAGTTTAAGAATAGAATGGAGCAGGTGCCACAGTAATTGAAAAAAAAAACAATGTTAACATTAACAAAAACATAATAATATGTTTATTTCAAATTACAACCATTTTAAACAAATGTATTAAAATTGTTGTAGTTTGTTAACAAAATACAATCTTAGCATTTGAATAAAATAATATTGAAATAAAATCTAAAATTTTATCGACGCCGTCGGCAGGTGTAGGACGTGCTACGTTTATAAACGATCATTGGACTGCTTAATAATATAAATCATACATAATATTATGTGTGTTTTTACTAGAATATAATATACCTAATTATATTTAATTTTTCAAACAAACGTTGTTGTTATGTTTATTCTCACAATTATATTTCACAATTATAATATTAATATATTATATTACACAAATATTTTATCGATTTTGTTACCATTTGCCTTTATGCAGTTTTCCAAACGGCTAGGCATTTTTCCCTAAATGTGCCTCCAAGCTATTTTCGCATTTAATGTATTTTCGCCGCTTTTCATCACTATTTTCTGTTTTAAAACTTTAATGTTAACTAAGGAAAATCAACTTTGCACATTTCATTAGAAGTGCATGCCTATTAGTTAATTTACGATTTACTGCTTTTACATGAATTAAAAATAGCTAGTAAGTTGAAAGGCATTGCACGTATTTGGTCGTATAAACATATATCTATTGTTGTGTATACACAGTACACACATGCTAAGAAGAGCAAAACGAAATACAAGTTACACACAGAAACAATGCCTTGATTATATGTCTACATTTCATTTGGTATTCGTTACCGTTACCATTACAGCCTACTAATCCACAGCTTGACATAGGCAACCCCCATAGATTGCCTCATAGGGGGGATATTTGTCATAGTTGCCACGCTCTGCAAGCGGGTTGGCAACCCCAGTTTTTTTTATTCGTTAAATGTAAGACGCTTATACGAGGGTTTTGCCGTCTGCAAGATGCAGCCGATTGCGGGTGGTAAAACTTATATACATACTAGCTGACCAGGCAGACGTTGTTCTGCCATTTCCTGAGATGACCCTTTCTCCAATAAAAAAATGCTTAAATTCCTAATAAAAAATGTTAAGGGTCACTTGTCGGGTTAAAAACTATCCTATCTCTCAAGTTGGACCAAACTGCTCACAGTGTGCAAAATTTCATTAAAATCAGTTCAGTAGTTTAGGAGTTCATCGCGGACAAACAATGTGACACGTAATTTTTATATATATATATATATATATATATATATATATATATATATATATATATATATATATATATATATATATGTCTGATTTATTCATGGCTAAACCATGAATAAATCCTGGTTGTAGAAGAAATGTAGGGCGGCCCCCCATTAGATAGAGTGACGATTTGGTAAGACATGCAAGAAGTCGATGGATGCAGGTGACTCAGGACTGTGCTTTGTGGCATTCCTTGGCTATAATGATGATGATGAAATCTAGTTGTATGCGACTAAACATAGCGTTACTTAATAATATAAAGTTAATCGTCCAGTTACTAATTTGATTGCCTTATGTTTATAGTATTGCTATACTCATATTATTAGTTTATATAGTACCTATGATTTTGTCACATATTAGTAGTAGAATACAATGAAACTTGCAATACACGATTACAAAGCGATCGATACTCAAATATCTCTATTACACTACCGTACCGTACACACCGTACTATTTGTTTGGTCATTAATTCAGCTTTATCCACAAACGTTTTGTTCGCCAAATAACTAACTTTACAGTTCCAATAATTTCAGATATATACATGAGCAACAAGTTAATATATTGCTGCAAATTATATTATTATTATCGTAATTATATAAAAAATTTAATGGGAGTATTATTATATATCATTTTTTTTCTTTGTCTGATTTTTAATAATCATAAGTCTGCATTAGATGTGGCCTCGTAGCGCCGTAATATTCTCTCAATGGGCACAAGTGTTTTAGAGTAACAGAAGTCGTGGAACTAATTGCTAGACCATCTTTGTTAGCCTTCATTTCAATTCAATCCAATCAAGAATGATAATGTTTATTATGAGGACGTTCTTTCTTTATCATTCCAGTTCCTTCTGCTAATTATAGCAATTTTTCATTATTAATACTTGTTCAATTAAAACACACAATGAATTGAGAGCGGCAAAACTTCAAAATTGCAGTTCAAATCAGTTTACAATGATTTTCAAAACTGAAATTGGTATTCATGTACGTGATAGAGTCATGCTGCAGCTATATTATCTGTACAGTTGTAGAACCAACGAGTCGGCTCGACTAGGCAAGGACCACGCTTTCACAGAATAACGGCGTAAAATAGCAGCTCAATGCTGCTGTGTTTCATATGGTGAGTGTAGAGAATCAGGGACCCTTTTTACTGGAAACAAAGCATTCCAACTTAGTCCTCGCGAGTGAGAACGCATCTGCATTTTGTGTCTTTTAGTCTAGGATAGATGTAGATGTCTATGGGCCATAGCAACCATTTTCCATCAGGTGGACTATGTGCTCGTTTGTCACACTTATCCTAAAAAAAAGACATACGAATATTACATAAAAATGAATGTTTCTTTGTTTGCTCGTATACAGTCCTATCCTATTATTCTATTTACAATATCATGATGATACTTTGGTGTGTTGATGTGTGCGCGTCCATGATGGCTTCTGTCAAAAAAGGAATATTCCTTTATTTGTTTGTATGTTGTCCATACGCATTGCATTTGGTGCTGATATTCAATACATAATAATACAAAAACCTTGACAAGCTAAACTATTTAAGTCCTTTGGCATAGCTATAAGGGTTAGTTTAATTAAACGAATTGTTAGTTATTTATTTTTCTTTAACCCGCCCCTTTAGCTGGCGTAGCAGTGATGGTGTGCGCGGCTACTGCTGCGACGCGCTGGTCGAAGCGCGACTGGCCTATAAATAACAACCCAGTTGCTACGGTATACAATGTGTTATGGCTGATCTTCGAACCAATGCTTTTCACCCTAAGTGGATATTACCTGGAGGTATCATAAAACTACATTATTTCAAAACCCGTTTTATTCATATATATACTTTAAAAATGAACATTACGCTATAATTTTATTACACTTATTATTATTTTATACAATATCTTTATAAAAATGGCGTGATTTTGTAAATATAAATATTTATAGGTACTTTGGTCAGTGCATATAATTCGTGTGTTTCTGTGACAAGTTACTCCTCTTCAATTTTATAGCATGCGAGATAATGATAGCCTGGATATCTGAAAAAAATAGGGCACTTGCATTGTTTGTCAATTTCCGTCGCAGCTAACTGGTATTACTTACACACACATATATATATATATATATATATATATATATATATATATATATATATATATATATATATATATATATATATAACTGTCGCAATAGAAAGATCTTTGTTCAACTGAGGGATATGCAGACACTGACTCTAGACAGTTCCTTGTTTGCTTTGTGAATTTATATCTTATTTTTGAAGTATGTAAATAACATAAATTATGAAAAAAAGGTAAAGTAAGAAACCGTAAGATGACGGTTTACTAAATCGGCGCAAATTACAAAATACATCCATTAAGGATATATATCAAAATTAGTTACGCAACATGATATATGTATACGTTTAAAAGGAAATGTTTTGTATTCCCATCATGTTTCCTCCTCACATAAATGAGAGAACTAAATTACAATTGTTTCATACACAGTAGTTCATTGTTCTAGTTGAGAACAAAAGTCATCAATACAACAAACTTTCAGTGTCTATATTCTATAACAATATTGAATGCCCATGGTGCACGAGTTTCTAAAACAAAATTAATTTATAAAGTAACAGATTGGACGTTACTTGAGTCAGTCCCTTATCAATGTCTCCCTTTTTTTCTACTATGAGGGAACATATTTAGAAATACTTTTAATTTAATAATTTTATCGGTTTTCGCGTTTATTGTCATGATTTTAGTCTATGAAAATTACTTTGAATATATCTTAGTAAATAGTGCTAACCTTCCTTGTTACCTTATTCTGTAGCCAAACAGTAGTGAGCTAATGCTGTGTGTGCTTTGAAAGTTAAGAAAATTACAGGCTGTGACCGTTTCATCTTAATTCTCAAGGGCGACAACACATCTATTACTTTGTTTGCTTGAAGTATATTGCACGTACCCAGTCACCTACCATGAAGTTTTTTTTTATTCTTTAATTTCGGTCTCAGCAACCATTCTCAACTGAGACTAGCCATCTGCCCAGATCATTGTTGTAATTCATAGTGTGAGAACAAACACTCTATTCCTTCATTCTCATAGCCCGATGAGATGAAAATCCGATACGACGGGAGAGAGATCAGGCGCAAGACCGTACGATTTTACGTGCATTCTGAGCAACAGGGTTAACACTGCTCAACTTCGTGACTCCGGTAGGCTACTTACGCCTAAATCTGATTATTTTGGCCCAGCCTGGGATTCCAACCCGGGGCTACATGATTGGCAGTCACACTTATGACAACTAGGCAAATGAGGCATTCTTATTACATATTCCTTTTACATTTATTTGTCCAAATTTTTTTTAATCTTAGCTAACCAATATATTTATAAAAGTCTAAGAACGCCTATTTATTTTAAAAGTTTAGAGTCCATCACAGTCATTTAAAATCTAGAACAAACCCATCATAATAGCTCTATGTACGACTATGCTTTTGTGCAAATTTATAGCACTCTAATGTAACGGCAGAGTTGATAGCTTCTGATATGAATCGTAACTGTTGCCAGTTGAATAGACAATAGACATTATCGATAATAACATCGATTATAATACGTTAATACAACGTTAGGACAATGTTTATAGCAGAACATTACTATTAACCTTGAAGAAACACTAATCAACTAAACTTTTTTTAATTCATAGGTATCTCAAATAACTCTAAAAGAGTTTGGCTTGATAGTGGCATGCATTGTTTTGGCACTGTTGCTACGGCTTATAACTGCATTTTTAGTAGCTCTGGCGAATAGACTGACAGTGAAAGAAAGCTTGTTCATTGCTGTCACTTGGATTCCCAAAGCCATTGTGGAGGTATGTATTATATATAATGCAATTAAATATTATAATATAATGTGAGTCTCTGAGACATGACTACATATTTGTGCCATTAGCTGTAAAAACTATCGGTCCGTGAGGTCCACGTGTATACCTAATATCTAAAGGAACTGTATCCGCGACTGGTCGTCATTGTTGGTTTAAGAACGCTGGTTCTTCTCTCGCTTAAATGTAGCCATTCAGCCAAAGACGTATTAAAAAAGATAGACAGGTTACACACTAACATTATTGTATTTTAAAGTGGCGCAGGTAGTACTATATCTACGTACAGTTATTTATTATGACACGTTGCGCTAACAAAAAGAGACAAATGATACGGCATACCTACCGTTAGAAAAAGATGAGTATACATCATTAGTTGCGTATTGATTGCTGCTGAGCGCTCATTGGCGCGAGCCCGTGACATACCGATATTGAAATGAACACTCTAGCTAGCGTCAAATTAGTTTTAAAATAATAAAACCAATTATAAATAAAACATCTATATTCAAAATATTAATGAGACATTTCTCTTGTCTCTAACAGTTACCGTGTAATTTGTACACCACGTAAAAACAGAGGAAGGCATTTTTACCACGAACAACTAGAAGATTTACGCACTGTAGCGAAGGTATTAGCCGTGACGCGAGAGCGTGCCCGACTGAATGCGAGTCGGGCAATTACCTGACTTTCTTATTGCCATTTTAGAGCGAGTATGACGTATCTATACTTTAAAATTAAACATCTTAGCATTCAGCGATGAAACGTTGCCAGCGTTCTTGAGACTATACCGCGGGGAGTAGGCATGTATAAACATATAATTTGTTAGTTTTGTTTTTTTAATTATGGTTATTAATATTGTATTTATTTGAATGTTATGTTAATAAACTTAAAAATAACATAATAATAATAATAAATAAAAATAGCCGAATAATTTTATGTAAAATATTATATGTTCTAAATTCTTGATATATATTTTCTTCTATTTTATTTCATTAAATCGCAATTTTATCTAACACTCATTACCTTACAGCAATAATTATACTAAAACGTGCTAAGAGCCTCTTTAACCTCCGACGCAAAAAGAGGGGTGTTATAAGTTTGACCGCTATGTGTGTGTGTCTATCTGCGGCACCGTAGCTCTTAAACGGGTGAATCAATTTGGGTGCGATTTTCTTTATTTAAAATCAGGTTTTCTAACGGTGGTTATTAGACATATTTTATCAAAATTGGTTTAGCCATTTCAAGGTCATCAGCTGTTTTGTTAGCTGTGATAGGCTTCTTTTCGGGGTTTTAAATTTTTCAATTTAAGTTATTATGACCTCTATGTAGTAAAGCCAGACTCGGTCATAGCTTTCCTTTTGTAATTGTATGATGTAATTCCTCCTTTTACATTAGACCATCGAAGGACGAGACACAGTCAGTCTCTGCCCTTTGGTTGTCGACCTACCACGCATCTAAACCAAACGGTTTGCCTTGTCATTCGAAATGCTTACAAGAATTAATGTTTGCCGAAATTTGTCGTTCAATCTGATAACAGAATGGGTACCTAGAGTGAAGGTACACATTTTATTTAGGCTTTTATTAAGTCACTGCACTTTAATATTTTTTTTATAGGGTCGGGTGACAAACGAGCACACAGTCCACCTGATGGTAAGTGGTTACTGTGACCCATAGACATCTACATCTATCCTCAACAAAGACTCAAAATGCAGATGCGTTGTCACCCGTGAGGACTAAGATGGAATGCCTCTTTGCCAGTAAAATGGGTCTCCGGTTCTCTACACTCACCATACGAAACACAGCAACGTTAAGCTGCTATTTTACGCTGGTTTTCTGTGAGAACGTGGTTCTTCCCCGGTCGAGCCGACCCATTCGTGCTACAACCATAATATAGCTGCAGCATGGCTCTACCACGTTAAAAAATATCTTCAGCTGCATACCCCTTACATGTGTGAGATAGTAGACAAGTACTGAATTATGTATACAAATAAATAAAATTGAAGTGTCTGTTTGTAATGTCAAAATAACAGCTTTTTACTAAATGCATATGTAAGTAAATACGGTATTAATAACAAAAATACAATTTTTAAGCTTACAGCTAGTCTTTAAATATGCGAGTGTAATCGTTGGTGTGTCTGTTAGTGATCGTGTAACCACTGACTTATCTTTAGGGTTCTATCAGACAGGAAGGGGTTACGCGTTCAAGCGTTCCGCGTTCGCGTTCTGCGTTCGAGCGTTCAGTTTCTCACGAATCCCGCTGTTAGACGGTCTACGCGGTCCACTACAGTCACCATGTTTTAAATATAGTTCTTCATCGGAAGACGAATTATTGATATTGTAGACACTAGCAGCTACAAAATGGAAAAGGAAACATTGGGTGAACCCAGTAAACAAGAATACAGAACAAGACGGAGAATTTCAGACGGTTTTGTAATTCATAAGGAAAAAAAATTGTAATTCATTTTCGCTGCTTAATTCTCTGGCAATATATAACTATGCTTCTGCTACTTTTTCACGGTTTTTTTTAATAATAATTCTTCACATCATATAAAAACACACCTTTCTCGTACTAACATAATCAACTTCTCAGTCTCCATCTTCCTTCCGATGTAGACACCGAAACAACCGTGAACGCGCGAACGCTTGCGTTCTGGTTGACCGCGGTCAGAATGTCTGCTGTCTGGGTATATTTAAGTAACGTAATATTTGTTTTTTTTTTTACTAAACGTTACCTCTACACTAGCATTTTCTCCTGTTTCGCGGGGGCACTTACATAGATTTCACAAGGACAGACATCCAGACCCAGAACAAGTATTTGTAGGCCCTACAAATACTTGCTCCGTGCGGGGTTTGAACCCGCAGCCTTTAGCGCTGCAACTCATTGCTAAGCCACTGCACCACGGAGCTGTCAATACAACACAATGAACGCAGAACGCGAACGCGAAACGCTTTTATGAGCTTCAGTTATATCCCTTATATTTCTGGCATTAACAGTTTCTATGAAAACATTCATCTCAAGAAAGAAAAACATAACACTCGTCTTTTAGGTTTCATAGTCGGATATAAAGTAGCCCTTATATATACTCATTTATTACTTACATATTTCGTGGCAATACGTCCAGTAGTTTTTGCGTGGTTATGAATACACAGACAGACACACAAACAAAAATTCTAAAGACCACTATTTTTTAAATTTGTTTAGGTGTACTTAGTATTGTATTGTGAAGGAGCGGCGTGAGATTATCTCTTACCCCATATCACCCCATAGGGGTCGTAAGAGGCAAAAGAAGGAATCTGAAACAGAAGATCATTTTACTAACAACAACTGAAAATAATAAAAACTGCGGTAGCTGCCACGCCTGCCAAGCTTGGCTACTATGGCATATTAAGGCAATCTATGTGGGGGCCCATATTCAACAGTTAACTTTTGATAGGCCTTTATGAATTTATGAATGTGATGATCATTAATATAGCCCATTGATATTTCAAGAAATATAAGAATTTGTAAACGAAAGATTTTCTACAGATTTATATTAACTCGTATATGAAAAACAAGAAATATATAAAAAAAATTAACCACTTGACTAAAATAATATGGCTTTGCAACTAAATTAAAAAATCTAATCCTATTTTGAGTTTTTAACATATTCCTAGTATATTTTATTACTAAGCATTCCAAGTCAGTAATAAATTATCTAAATAATTTATCTTAGACGGGATATTACCGAAGTTTGTTCAATTATAACCAGACTGCTGAATGCCGTGTTCAACTTGGAAACTAATTGGACTGCAGCATTTGCAATATAACTATAAAATAGTCTGTCCTGTCCCCATATCATTTACATTTATATAACCCCATTCAAACCCTTTCCATCAGTTGTATATTAGATATGTATTTAAAACAAGTTCATTTGCTTGTAGCAAATGAAGTGGTAGCTTTGGGAGAGGTCCATGTCCAGTAGTAGACTGCCGCAGGCTGATGATGATGATGATGAAGTGGAGTGCACAGGAGTCGTTGAATACAGGTTTTTTTTATAGGATCGGGTGACAAACGAGCACATAATCCACCTGATGGTAAGTAGTTGCTGTGTACATTTATCGTCGTTTGCGAATCAAAATGCAGATGCGTTGTCACCCGCGAGGACTAAGATGGAATGCCTCTTTTCCAGTAAAAAGGGTCTCCGGTTCTCTAAACTCACCATACGAAACACAGCAGTGTTAAGCTGCTATTTGACGCTGGTATTCTGTGAGAGCGTGGTCGAGCCGACCTATTCGTGTTACAACTATACTACTAATATAGCTGCATCATGGCTCTACCACGTATAGGTATATGTGGTGAAGGTACTTTATGACAATTGTGGAGTAGGATATGTTTAGCAGTGGATTTGTGTTGGACTGTAATTTCATCATCATCTAGAAATTAAAATGTTAATATTGTTTATATCGACTAATTTATTTGTAGTCATAATCTATTCAAAAGTAAATTAAAAAAATAGTCCTATTCCCCGCGGTATCGTGCCAAGAACGCTGGCTACGTGTCCCCGCTGATATTGTTTTATTATATATATATATTGAAATATTGTTTTAGTGGAATAATCAACGAATAAGTTTCACTCGTTTAACTCGCGATACCATTCATACCATATACCATATGAATGATTGGTGGTCCACCACTGTGCGATTTACAAGAAGTTTTCTTCCTACTACAACATCCTTGTGGAATCGACTACCACCAGCGATTTTTCTGGACCGATACGACTTAGGGACCTTCAAGAAAAGAACCTACTCTTTTCTTTAAGGCCGGCGACGTATCTGCAATTCCCCTGGTGTTGCAGTTGTTTATGGCGGCGTTAATCACTTATCATCAGGTGAACCAACGAGAAGCGATACTAAATGTAAATAAAACCAATGCAAGGTTATTAGGAATAGCAGGGGTGCGTAGCTTTTTCATAGTTACATTATATATTTAAGTAGACAATATAGCTTTTAAAAAT